AAGATGAGGACATCAGTGCACTTATATTGTTCTTCCACTTTTCCTACTTCCCTTCTAACTCCCCAGTGGTTACTGGCACATTCTTTTTTTTTTTTTTGTCTTTACTATAAAATCATTACATTTTTTTTTACGTTCAGTAGCTTTATTTCAAGAATAACATCTATTACAAACTGTTTTGTAAAACTAATTACCAGACTTAATTCTCTGTTTAAATGGATTCACTATTCACAATTTTTCCATTTTCTGAGTTCTTTATTTTGATTCATCCTTCAGTTGGCTGAATTCTACCGAGATTAACCTTTTTAGGAAGGGTACACAGGTAATTCTATTTCTAAAATTCTACATTTCTGAAGAGATTCTCTATTATTAACTTGATGTGTCAATGACAAACCTGTCTGTGAATTCTTGAAACACATCTTTTTTTTTTTTTTTTTTTAATTGTGTTTATTTTTATTGTGATTTGGGCAAAAGTTTACAGAGCAAATTCATCTTCCATACAGCGGCTCACATACACTTTGTCTCATGACATTGACTGCAATCTCCCACAATGCAACAGCTCTCCTTCCACTTCCTCCCCATAGTTACCTTTCCCGTGTCCTTCCCTCCCATGCACTCCTTCCAATTTTTAAACCATGCAGTATTCCCTTGTTCTGGTCAAATGACTGCCTCTTGGTATATGTATAGGTTCCACATGAGGAATTCACATTCTTTGCAATGTTATCCATAATTTATGATCCACAGAGTAGAATGCCTTCACATAGTCAAGAAAACACAAGTAAACATCTTCCTGGTATTCTCCACTTTCAGCCAAGATCCATCTGACATAAGCAATCATATCCCTCATTCCACATCCTCTTTTGAGTCAGCCTGAATTTCCGACAGTTCCCTGCTGATATACTCCTATAACCATTTTTGAACTATCTTCAGTAAAATTTTAGTTGCATGTGATATTAATGATATTATTCAATAATTTCCATATCCTGTTGGATCATTGGAAGTGCTCACTTCTAGTTGGTTGGCCAGCTAGTAGTCTTCCAAATTTCTTGGCACAAAGAAGTGAGCACTTCCAGTGTTGTGTCTGTTTGTTGAAACACCTCAAGTGGTATTCCATCAATCGCTGGAACCTTGTTTTTTTGCCAATGCCTTCAGTGCAGGTTGGACTTCTTCCTTTAGTTCCTGATCATAGACTACCTCTTGAAATGGCTTAATGTTGACCAATTCTCTGTGTACTCCTTCCTTTTTTATTTTTCCCCTCCCTCTTCTTTTGATCCTTCCTGTATTGTTCAATGATACTACAACTCAAGGCTTGAATTTTTTATTCAGTTCTTTCAGCTTGAGAAATGGCAAGCGTATTCTTCCCTTGGCCTTTTTAACTCTAGATCTTCACATATTTCATTATAATACTTCATCTTCTCAAACTGCCCTTTGAAATCTCCTGTTCAGTTCTTTTACTTATCTTTTCTTCCATTCACTTTAGCTACTCTACATTCAAGAAGGGGTTTCAGAGTCTCTTCTAACAGCTATTATGGTCTGAATAAAACCTAAAGTTGTTTTTGTTTCATTTTCCTAAATTTGTTCCCCAGGTTATACAATTTTATCACAAACTCTCTTAAGTAATCATCTAACCTAAAAAAAAAAAAAAAAACCCAAACTCACCATTGTGGAGTTGATTGCACCTCATAGCAACCCTACAGAAGAGTAGAACTGTCCCATAATGTTTCCAGGGCCGTGTATTTTCACACAAGCAGCCTGCCTCATCTTTCTCACCTGGAGCATCTCTGGTGATTTTAAACTGCTGACATTTTGGTTAGCAGCTGAGTACTTTAATCACCGAACCACCAGGGTTCGTTTCATGTAACCTGACCAGCATTTATTAAATATTTATTACCAGAACTGAGCTAGGTGTCTCTTTCATATACATCTCCCCCTGTGCCTTTAGCAGGAAGTTCTTCAATCCCTTTCTTTACTTACTCTATCATCTCTTCCTCCTCAGACCACTTTGTTCACTATCCTACCTAGACCGCAGAATATATCACTCCAGCCATGCTTTTGGCAGAATCCTCAATCTTCCCTACCTACTTGTCCTTCAGGTATACTTCTCTGCAAACAACCGACCTGGAAGGCTGGCCTAAGAATTCCCCAGGACCATTAGATGGCTTAAGCTTTCATACTAATTATACTCTATTAAGCCTTCAGTGTCTTTTTCTTTCAGCTAATAAAATTGCTCAATTATCATACACGTAAAAAAAACCTACTTCATGTTTTTAAAAACCCAAGCTGCTGCTTCTTTTTAAAAATGTGTAATATTTAACAATATTTTATTTTACTGCTTTGGGTGCAGGTTTATAAAGCAGATTTGTTTTATTCTCAACAATTCATGCACATTTGGTTCCACGGCCCCAATTACCATCCCTAACCACAAAAAACTCTTCTTCCCTCTCCTCCCTGTGACTACCCGCTCCCTGTGCCCTTCTTATCTATGCATTCCTGTCTGTCCAGCTTTCCCTCTATGTGAATGCTGCCCCTCTGATGTCTCTTAGCTGACTGATCTAAGAGGTGCATCTCCCCAGGGTAAGGGGATACATCTCCCTAGGGTAGGTATTCTGCATGTAGGTCTTTCTACTGTTGGGCTGAGAGCCAACAGACATGAGTCTATTTCTAGGACCGAAGGATAACCCAGGGCCACAGTCCCAGGAGTTCCACCAGTCTCTATCTGACCTATAATTCTGGTCATTGTTGTTTTTGAATTTTTTTTCCACACTTTTCCTTCCACTCTAACCAGGTTCTCCAATTCTGATCCCTTTCCAAGTGGTTAGCATCGGCAGCCAAGTACCATCTAGTTCTTCTGGTCTTGGGGTCATGAAGGCTGAAGTCCTCATGCTCCATCATATCTTTGGACTAATTATTTCCAGATGACTTTGATTTTCTTCACTCTTCTTTGCTCCAGACTAGAGGAGAACAGGTGCATCTTAGATGGGCACTCGAAAGCTTTTAAGACCCCAGTCACTAATTACCAAAGTAGGATGTCAAACAAGATTTTTATGTACTGTTGTTGCTGTTGTTAGGTGCTGTCATCTCCGACTCATAGCAACATTATGTACAACAGAAAGACACTGTGTTCCTGTGCCAGCCTTATAATCGTTGCTAAACCTGAGCCCATCATTGCAGCCACTGTGTCAATCCATCTCATTGAAGGCCTTCCCCTTTTTCATTGACCCTCAACTTTACCAAACATGATATCCTTCTCCAGAGAATGGTGCCTTCTGACATGACCAAAGTAGTAAGATGAAGTTTGGCCATTCTCACTTCCAACGAGCATTTCAGCTGCACTTCTTCCAGAAGAGATTTGTTAGTTCTTTTGGCAGTCCATGGTACTTTCAGTATTCTTCTCCAACACCATACCTCAAAAGCATCAACTCTTCTTCAGTGTTCCTTATTCATTGTCCAGCTCTCACATGCACTATGAGGTGACTGAAAAAACTGTGGCTTGGGTTAGCTGCACCTTAGTCTTCAAGGAGACATCTTTGCTCTTCAGCACTCTAAAGAGGTCTTTTGCAGCAGATTTGCCTAGTGCAATATATCATCTGATGTCTTGGCTGCTTCTTCCATTGGTGTTGATTGTGTAACCAAGTAATATTAAATCTTTGACAACTTCAATCTTTTCTCCATTTATTGTGATGCTGCTATTGGTCCAGTTGTGAGAACTTACATTTTCTTTATATTGAAGTATAATCCATACTATGTACTATGGTGTGCCAACTGAGCATGATGTCCCCCAGGACTATGGTCCCGAGCCCACAGGACCACCAATTCTCTCTCTCAAGGTGTTTTGTTGTCTCTGAGAAGCTACTCCAAAAACCCAAGCTTCTTAAAGAAAAGCTTTCCTTCTCATTTACTCAATTAACTATACTCTGGTTGTACTTTTTCCCCTTTCTCAACCACAAAAGTTACTAATTCATGGTCACTTTTTCCCGTATTCCTCTACATACTTCACTTCAATGACCTAATTTCAGCCCCTCGTCTGTTCTCAGATGGACTAATGCAGTAATGTCCTAATTCATCTCCTTGCCTATAAACTTTCCTTCAAACTGCCCTCATCCATTTCTTATAAACTGCTGCCAAAATACTTTCTAAAATCTAAAACAGACAACATTTCTTCCATGTTTAAAACAAATCTATGATTTCTCAGTGCCTGAAAATAAAAATCCAATTCTTTATCACAGAATAAAGATCTCTATTATCTGTCTCCTATCATACCTATTGTTGTACAATACTTATTCCCTTTGAGCCACCCATACTTTTTTTGGTACCATAAACTCCAGTCTTTATAAATGACACATAAAGCCCAGGACTGTGCTATTGACTATACATGTCCTATACTCGTGCTTATCCACCCTGTAGAATTTCCTTGCTCTCATCTTCCTTCAGTTTACTCACTGATCTGTCAAGATGTACCTCAAAAATCTCTGTTAAGCCTTCCTGACCAGAACAAGTACAGGTGCAGTCCCTTTGTGCCACCATTTCATACATGTATTTATCTTTATTACAATGTATCACAAATTAATGTAATTAATTGCTAACAGGTCTATCTCCCTTTCTAAATTGTGAGCTCCCTGAAGTCAATGGTTGCTTTTCATCCATCACTATATCCCTTGTAGAAGGAGCCCTGGTGGTGCAGTGGTTAAGCACGTGGCTGCTAACCAAGAAGTCAGCAGTTTGAATCCAGCAGCCATTCCTCGGAAGATATAACAGTCTGCTTTCATAAACATTACAGACTTGGAAACTCTAAGGGTAGTTCACTCTGTCCTACAGGGTTCCTCTGAGTGGGAATCAACTTGATGGCAATTGGTTGTGTTTGGTTTTGGTTTATATCCCTTGTGCCTATCACCACAAATAGGTGCCAAATAAACACTGCTAAATGCAAATGAAAAAGAACACAGAATGAGAGATTATAATTTCATGCAAATAACAGAAGCTTTAATGTTAAAACATGTCCTTACCTGATAACTAACTGTTTTCTTTCCCCCACTTCCAGCCTGAGGTAAAGTCAAAGGTCCAGATACTATCCAAACATCTTCAAACCTTTCTGTCAGTTCTCGACAGTACATTTCTATTCTGAGGGGATAGTGGGAAGATACAAAAATTTATGACATTCTCACAGACACAAATGTAGAAAAGCAGCAAACCATATCAAATTCCTAAAAAAAGACACCAAGATTACTGCATTTGAGAAATTAAGTAAGAGATTATGACATAAAACTTTTAATATACAATGATTTTCGCAGTTTGTTTATTGCCTCAACATTTTAAAAATCACACATCAACACAGCACCTGTCTATATTTTTTGTGTGTCATTCAATAAGTACATTTTAGAACTTCAACTGTTTTCTGTGCTCTCCCTTAAACATTTTTTGTCATGATTTTCTAATAAACGTTTTATAAGAATTATGTCATTCTAAGAAATTAATGTAGTTTTTTAACCACTCTTACTGTGGGACAACTGAGTCTATCACAGTATTAATTCCTTTAAATACATCTCCAGGACCAGAATTATTAGTATTTTAATGATATTCAATCCCACATAAAATTAACATTTTTAATAGGGTTATACCAATTTACTCTATAAACTCCAAAATACAGACATTTCACAACTTTAATAACACTGGAAATTATAATTAGAAACTGTTTTCACAACTGACCATTAACACACTTGATGATATAATCCAGAAACCAACCCAGCTTTGGAAGTATCCAAAGTAAGTAAGCCTACAAGATTGTAAACAGGGAACCAGAGACGTCAATTGAGAAATGAGGACAACTACAAACCAAAAAGAGGGAAAAAACTGTGTTGTTACAGAACTTCTAGATGGTAGGGAAGTCAAGACAACTACAAGATAGAATGGACTGTTCTAAACTTGGGAAAACTATAAATCACAGGGTAACTTCAAAGGAAAATGATAAACCTTCACACCAAAATAAAAAAGCGGACCAGCCCAAATATTTAACAAATACTAAAACAATAGCAACGAAGGAAGTGATAACACAATTCATAAACAAAACGAGCTCAGCACAGAAAATTATATGGAACAAAGAAATCAACATCACAAAAAAGCACATAACAAAAATGACAGCAACAAATTCATATTTGCTGATAATTACATATCTGGCAAGGGACTTATCACTAAGACTTATAGAAAACTCCAACACCTCAACACCAAAGGAATTAATAATCCAATTGAAAAATGTGCGGAAGACATGAATAGACACTTCACCAAGGAAGGTATTCAGGTGGCCAGCAAACACGTGAAGAGATGCTCATGATCACTGGCCATCAGAGATGCAAATCTAAACAACAATAAGATGCCCTCTCACCCCAGTGCTGATGGCAAGGTTCAATGAGACAGAAAATAACAAATGTTGGCAGGGATATGGAGAGATTGAGCCTCTCATACACTGCTGGTGGGACTGTGAAGTGATACAACCACTGTGGAAAGTAGTATGGTGATTCCTTAGAAAGCTGGAATTGGAGATACCATTTGACACAGCAATCCCATTACTAGGTATATATCCTAAAGAGGTGAGACGCAGGACAGGAACAAATATATGCATATTCATCATGTTCATCGCAGCACTATTTACAACAGCAAAAAGATGGAAACCACCTATGTGCCCATCAGCGGAAGAGTGGGTGACCAAACTATGGTATATACACATACTGGAATGCTATGGAGCATTAAAGAATAATGTAGAGTCTGCAAAACACTGATGAATGAACTTGGATGAACTTGGAGGACATTATGCTGAGTGAAGTAAGTCAAGCACAGGACAAATGTAGTATTAGTTCATTGTTGTGGAGGGTTAAGGAAAGGTTTATATATGGAGGGAAACTTTCTTTGTTGGTTGCCAGGGATGGGAGGGGAGGGGAGGGAACACTGCAAAAAAAAAAAAAGCATTTGACCCATGTCACTTTAGTTTTGTATATTTCACCGTACATCTGTACATAAATTATATTTCAATAAAATGCATTAAAAAAAACCTGTTATCATGAATTTACCAGATAAAAATGACTACAAGTTATTAGTTTTAATATGCACTTTCTTATACTGTGGTAGGAACAGGTTTATAAATGAGATATGCTTATCATCATTCCTCCATTTCCCTATCTAAAAAGCAGAATCAACAGCATTATTTCTTATAGAATATATGACCAAGTTTCCCCCAAAAATGTATCCCTTAGCAAACTCACTGCCATCGAGTCGGATCCGACTCATAGCGACCACTCCTTGGGTTTCCGAGGTGGTATCTCTATGGAAGTAGATTGCCCCACCTGCCTTCGAAAAAGTGGCTGGTGGGTTTGAACTTCCAGCCTTCTGGTTAGCAGTCAAATGCCTTAGGCACTATGCCACCAGAGCTCCTCCCTTAGCAAAGGAAAATGTTAAATGCTTCCATGGGTATAAAATCGGCAAAACCCAGAGTATAGAAAGAAAACACTACAGGGCAAACATCTCAGCTCTCCCACAAATAATTTATTGGGGCGGGAGGGGGTGGTGATGAAGAGGACAGGAAAATCTCCATATTAAAAGAGACAGCAGATATATAACAATTCAATTCATGTATGGACTTTGGTTGAATCCTGACTGAAACTAAAACCTAACCAAAAAAAAAAAAAAAATTAGAGACAATCAAGGAAATTTGAACACTGACTAGATAACTGATAATAAGGAATTACTATCAAATTTAGGTACAATAACAGTACTACGGTTATATTTTTGAAAGAATCCTTATCTTCTAAAAAGATATACTGGAAATATTTATGGATATAATTATGTATATGTGATCTGCTTAAAATAATCATGGGAGGGAACAAAGGGGGTATATGTAAATTAAACAAATTTGGCCATGACTGATAATTACTGTAGTCCTTCTTTAGTGTAAGGTGCCCTCTTAATTATTTTAAACCACAAAGTACTAAGTATTAGGGAAAATCTAATAGCTTAAAACAACCTCAATCAGTACTAGTTTTAGATGTTTAAAGAGATCACCTGATAGAGCTGGTTGTGTCAGAAAACTATAGAAACCCAAATAATTTTACAGTTAAATTCTATCAAAAACTGGTTAATGGTACATTCAATTGTACCAAAACTTAAAAACAAATCTTAGGGACTATGAGATACAAGTAGAGGAAAATACACTGTCCTCCAGACATACATAAAAATCTGTTACTGCCTCAGTCATTAAGAAAAGTAATATTTTGAATAATTTCTTCCAGAACTTGACTTTTGCTTAGTGGCAAACAAGACCCAAATGGCTGGCTATGCTTTAAAGTCTGTACTCCCAGATAAGTCTGTACTCCAAAAACATACCAAAGAAAATGGGTCCAGAGCACTTACCATCAGTAGTGGTACCTTTTCAGTACGATACAAACAGTGATAGGCACACCAGTACATTCTCCTGCCATATTGTTCATCCTACACAGAACCACATTTTAAATCTCTCACCTCTTACCTGTTCCAATATCCAGAATTATTATCAAAATTCTGAGGCACAATATTAGAAAGGTAGAAAGTTTCTGCCATGGCTTTCTGTGAAAAAAAATAAAAAATAGTTACTTCCACTAAAATTCTTTCACCTCTGAGAGGTATTTCACAAAACAGACACAAAAAAACTAGTTCCTTAATAATACACTAGCTCTGGACAACTATAGTGACTACATGTTTAAATATATGAAAGCCATAGCTATTCCAGAACATAAAGCCTTTTAATTACTCAAAATAAGGATTATAAAAAATAAGTACTTTGATGTGCTAGTTTTCTTTATAATTTATAAAATCAAAACCTGTAATATAGATATTACTAGAAGTTCCCAATATTAAAAGGTAAATCCTGTTTAAGCATAAAAATTCAGCATATAATTTCGGAATAAAGTTCAACTTCCAGGAATTTTTAGTAGTAGAGAACAAATGTATTAGTTCAAAAGCAGCAGAGAAAAATTTGTTTTTCTAAATTTCTGGTCACTAGGCATCTGTCTAGGGAGCTCTGGTAGTGTAGTGCCTAAAGCATTTGACTGCTAATTTCAAACCCACCAGCCACTCCTCAGGAGGAAGGTTGGGCAACCTACTTCTGTAGTGATACCACCTCAGAAACCCAAGGAGGGGTCACTATGAGTCGGATCTGACTCGACAGCAGTGAGTTTGTTTTTTTTTGGATGCAT